TTGCCTTTTACTCTTCATTAAAGCTGGAACACATGCCTGGAAGAGGTGTATAATTTGTACACTAATGCTGGAAGGTTTTCATTTTGCAACTGGATTCTCAGGGCGGCTATGCTGTTTACTGGTAAGTTGTGCCAAGTGAGGCTGTTTATTCAGAGTGAAGAGAAACACTGCAAGTTGTGCTACTTAGTAATCGAAGCTAGTTACACACAGAAACCACGTCATTCAAAATTAAAGAGTAATTTTGTCTGGGCATCCTTTAGTCTCAACCACTTTAGAAATAAATTCAAACTGTTGGTAGAATGTCGTATAATTTGACAAGAGATACAAATACAAAGCTGTAAAATATGTACAATATGTACACACAGAAACCACGTCATTCAAAATGACTTTGAAATAAATTCAAACTGTTGTTATAAAAAAGGTACATGTTATAAAAGAGATACAACGGTATAAATCATACTAAAAGATGAAGAGGCATACTATAACATGATTTTTGAACAATATGTGAGTTTCACTCTTCATTTAGATTGAATACAGTACTAGTAACTTTGGTATTGGAAGTGTGATACAAGCAATCAAATTGGCTAGGACTGACAACTAACCAGTGAGGCAACCAAAATCTACCACTAAAACAAGTGCAGAACAAAATCATGACCCACTGATGTGAAGATTTTGAACCAGTGAGATAAGAATCCCAAGATTGAGCGTTTCTTTGCTTCTCTCTTGATGACAAAGAACTCTGATAAGTGCAAGGAACTGAATTATGGAAACATTAATGAAGGACATTAAGTAATGTCAATAAAAATTACTAATCAATACACATTTGGAATTATTTTCAGCAGATCTATTTAGCCTAATAAAATTGAAACTTAATTTCTTTTCAAACCAACATAAAATGCTTATGTAAACGGTCAGTATGTCTTAAATAAAACAGCAATTACAAGCTGATTGTTTGAGCGTCACAGTCAATATCTAAAATCAAATTTATAAACAGTTACAGGTTGATTGTTTTAGTCACTGTCACTCTCACTGTCTGAATCCCTATCAGTCCTCATACCGTGGTTAAGTGCCCCAAGATTCACCCATGATACTTCCTGTAGGAAACGAATGGGGACAATTTCGTCCTTGACAAGCATCTTCGTAAGTCTAGTCACTTTCTTATTGTTAGCAATTGTCTTCCATCTTTGAGGTCCAGTAACAGTATTGCCTGTACCAATAGCACAATCATCACTTCTTGACAAATGTTCAAGTTGAACAAATCCACCTGAGAACCAAAATACAATCACTTTAATAATATTTATCAGAAAACTCAGTTCTTATGTAAGTAGTAAATACTGTCAATTACCAATGAGAGTCCAGATGTTGGGATGTTTTTGAGGAATTATATTTGCCAAAGATCTGTTGTCACTTTCGGAACAGTTGTTTGTTCTCTCAGGTTGATCAAAAACGGACAGCTCGTGAACTTTGGGCACCCACTCCCTCCTGAAGTAAGCAAATAGCTGAAGTTCTTCTGCCCAGCCCGATGCTTGGACCTGGGCCCACAAGTCTTCCACAGTCTTAGCAATCAATACAGGAGGAAGGAGGGGGACACCAGAGAGGGAGCGAATGTATGAGTGAATGAGATCATTGTCAGAGGCTAGTAAAGCGAGCCCCAGCTTTGTTGCTTTCCTGCCAATACACTACAAGAAAGAAAATGTGGTTAGATACAATGTGCCAGAGTTCCATAAATTTCAAAACGATTGAGCTTTGGTGACTTGAAATGAAGTTAATGGGTAATTAAGGTAGAGAGGCCCTTTAAATAAGCCAGTTTAACAAAGTTACAAAATTATTTTAACTCACCACACCAAAATGCCAAAGACATCCAACAATAGTACTGCCCGGAAAAACGCGCCTTAATGCATTTATTACTGCTCGTTCAAAATCACAGTGAATTCGTGCTGGACGCATAGTAGGGGCAAGGCTCTTCAGGAACTCAAACAGTGTTACATACGCAGCCTCTGAGCGACTTTGCATAAGGACACGTACCAAGCCTACAACCTGGACAGGAAAGAAAAGGAATCAATTTCAAGCAATTTTGGGTTTAATTACTGCAGTTAATCAACTTGTTACTCACAAAGCCACCCCGATTGGTCACTATGTTGTAGATTTGTCTACACTTCGGTTTCCTAGGCCTCTTTTTGAATGTCCCATCCATATGCAAATTAGGTTGATTTTGGAGAAGTTCGAGCATTCTCCCTGATACAAAAACAACTGATACTGTGCGGTTTGCTGGAAGGCCAATCACACCTTGGAAAATATAATCAGTGTTGTCAACAGTTTTGCATATTGCTCTCAAGTTTGGGAGACCTAGGAGCAACCCCAAATGAACCAGGGTCTTGGGTAACTTTGGGTAGTTTGCACATCGAGCATTGTGAAGGGAGGAATGCATTCGAGCCACTGTAAAACGGCCAGCAAGTTCAGGGTGAAGCCTGCACAAAATTCATCAAAAGGTTAAAAGAATGTTTTAATTAAGCTGCTTCAAACAGCATGTGGTCTAAACAACTATGAATTAGCAGTACACAAGCAGATTACTTACCTCAACTTGAAATCACGCAGAATTTTTCGAACACTTGCACCAGTTAAGCTGGTCCCCGCCTCTTGCACCATGTCCCGCCTTGTTGAAGCATCTTCTGGTAGCAGTACATCGCGAACACATGAGTGTGGGTGCAAATGCTTCAACTTGAGTTCTCCGTTTCCAATAATGCACAAAGCAGCGGTTCCCTTGCAATTTCCCTTTACCTTCCGGCACCTGAGTCTAATCCGTCTAGGGAGGACTTCCCGAACATGATAATAATATCCGTCCCCCACGTGAACCCTGACGTTCTGCTTAGACACATGTAGACATGTTCTAGACGTGTAAAACTAGACCTAAAACAGATGCGTTTTAGACGCATTCTAGACAGTCTAGAACGCGTCTGAGACGATGTCTAGAAGTGCCACTTCTTGACAGTGATCTAGAAACTGTCATTTTCTGTCTAAACAATAATTGTCGAAACACTGTCTAGAATAGATAGGTGCCGTCGAGAAAAGATGTCCAGAAGCGTCTAGATGGTGTCCAGGCTTAGGAGGCACCGCACGCGTCCCCGCCAGGGTCCGCGTCAGGACCCCGTCAAGATCAGTCTAGAATATTTCTAGAACTGTCTAGATCACGTACAGACAACCGTGGTTTCGAGGCCCCATCCATACCCGCCCGGGTCTGCGTCAGGACCCCGTCAGGATCAGTCAAGAATATTTCTAGAACTGTCTAGATCACGTACAGACAACCGTGGTTCCGAGGCCCCATCCATACCCGCCCGGATCCGCGTCAGGACCCCGTCAGGATCAGTCTAGAATATTTCTAGAACTGTCTAGATCACGTACAGACAACCGTGGTT